CGTATGGAACAGCATAGTCCAAACTGATAATAATAATGCTCATGGAGATTTTGTTGAAGAATGAGGTGAGTTTGGCTAGGAAGTCATGAGTGCTAATTAGACATGATGAATCATAAATGCAAATTAAAAGTGGTGAATTAGAAGCATTAATAAGATGTAATGGATCGTAAAAAATCAGATAAATGTAATGGTTTGATTTTGTTTGTTTGTTTGGGATATTCGCTGATAAACTAGGGCTACCTGTGCCAGTCGTACATAATTTTGAACTGATAGGTGGATAGTTAGCTAGTCAACAGTACTCACTGCCAACACTTGTGTTACTCTAATCGAGTATGGCACCCACGGCCCTAAAGGGGAGAGTGCGATTTATTATCATTATTGCCCTCCAGTGGCACAGCGGTATGTCTGCGGACTTACTACGCAAGAAACAGGATTTAGATACCCGTGGTGGGCAGAGCACAGATAGCCCATTGTGTAGCTTTGTGCTTAACTTCAAACAAACAAACAATTATTATTATTTTGCGGCAACAGGACGCGAACCATGGGCTCACGATTCCACAACCTCATAAGTGATAAAAAAAAAGCTAGAATAAAAAAATATAAAACTTATCCATAACAGATTAAAAAAACAAATACAGTGATTTTAATGTGAAGTTTGGACTTATAAAGCTTACAGGAATAAAAAGAATACCCATGAAATTCGAAAGTTTTATTGTTGTTTTGTATTTTTGCGGTCTTGTTGGTTGGGCTAGAAGCTGACCATTTTTTATTGTTATTGATATTGAGAGTTTTCAAAAAAACATATAAAGATTTATGACAAGAAAAACTAACACTTTTACAATACGTCACTTTCGATACTTCAATTCCATAAGGGCTTTAACTTCACTTGAAATTAAATTACCTATAATAGTGTAACCCTGAAGGTTAACAAAATTACCTCTAAACTTATTGTTTTATAAACTCGAGACATGGTTAAGATTTACTTGGTGGACAAAAGGCAGTTTTAATTAACAGGCAGAGTATTTTGACTGTTTCGTTTAACTGGCAAATAACAGTCGATGTTTTCAGTGAAAATTTTTTTCTTTTTACTGAGTCCTATAATTACTGATTGGGAATTCCATAAGCTCCATATATTTTACTAAGTTATTTACGTAACAAACTACTTATAATTTGGGTTCGTGATCCATACGAACCACACACACACAAACAAACTGCCCAGTGGGGGGGGGGGCAATGAGTGTTGTAACAGGCAAAAACACAAAATGGCTCAATATGATGCGATACGGTGGTGTAGGATATAAAATCAAGTCGTTATGTAAAGGGTTAAATTTTATACATTTTTATGCTGGATTAATATTTAATAAGTTAAAAATTGCTGTTCTTGCGCATAACAAGTGTTTGTTAAGTTTGGCATCGTTGTTGTTTTTTTACTCGCAAACCCTGGTTATTCCGGAACGATGAAAATTCCACCTATCGGTACCGTTCTAGCTTCTTCGACATACCAGTAAGATCAGCTACGTCCATCGAAAATATTGTTTGTTTGTTTGTTTTTGAATTTCGCGCAAAGCTACACGAGGGCTATCTGTGCTAGCCGTCCCTAATTTAGCAGTGAAAGAGTAGAGGGAAAGCAGCTAGTCATCACCACCCACCACCCACTCTTGGGCTACTCTTTTACCAACCAATAATGGGATTGACCGTCACATGATAACGCCCCCACGGCTGAAAGGGCGAGCATATTTGGTGGGAGACGGGGATTCGAACTCGCGACCTTCAGATTGAGAGTCGAGCGCCCTAACCACTTGGCCATGCCGGCCCTGAAAAGATTGAACTCCGAATTTTAACGTTACAAAATCTCCAGTTTCCCGCTGATTCAGCGAGAGATATGCTACAGGAATAAAACCGACTTTAAATTTTGTTATTATTGTTAAGAAAAATCTTATAAGTCCGAAGATATGAAATATAAACAGTATGATTGAAACAGAGCAGGAAAAAAATATCTGCATCAATCAGATTATCTCATGCCTTCTGGTTTGCCATGTTTTAGAAGCAATTTATCCAAATGAGTTAATTACAAGAACAAATGTAGCAAGCACATTTAATGAATTAATTTGGCTAAAGAGAACAAACAAATCAGTCCTCGAAATTATTAAAAGATTGTATTTGTTCATTTGTTGAATTTCACGCTAATCTAGCCGTTTCTAATTTTGAACTGATAGACTAGAGCTATAGCAGCTAGTCAACACTACCCACCGCCAGTCATTGGGCTACTCTTTATCTACGAATAATGGGATTGACAACACATTACAACACCCCTACGGCTGAAAGGGCGAGCATGTTCAGTGACGAGAGTCCTAACCACCAGGCCATGCCATGTCCAAAAGATTTTAACAGCGGCTTGGATGGAAGAGTAGTTCACTTGAATCAGGGATCCTGGAAACAAAAATCTTTGACATTTCCCCTCTCGTAGATCTCTTTGGTACAGAAAAAAAAGGATAAAAAAATCGTAATATTAACTTGTTTGTTTGTTTGTAATTAAGCACAAACCTTCACAATGGGCTATCTGTGCTCTGCCCACCACGGGTGTCGAAACCCGGATTTTAGCGTTGTAAGTCCGCAGACATACCGCTGTGCCACTGTTTTTTATGTTATCTATTCTGAAATTTAATCTCCAGAATATAAATAATCAGCTAGTGATCATGGTGGATTTTATAAAGGACCTCTTACAGTACAGCAAACATTGGTCTTTAGTGATCATGGTGGATTTTATAAAGGACCTCTTACAATACAGCAAATATTGGTCTTTAGTGGTCATGGTGGATTTTATGAAGAACCTCTTACAATACAGCAAACATTGGTCGTTAGTGATCATGGTGGATTTTATGAAGGACCTCTTACAATACAGCAAACATTGGTCTTGAGAGTATGTACTCTTGGTTTTTATAAATAGCACAGTTTTATCAGTATTTTGATATCCTTTATTATTCAAGACGATTTTTGATTCTGATTTGATTATAATGCAGTACAAACGAAATTACTACAGTCAGACAATGCTAAAAGGATTCTATTCTTCCAACTTACATCAGCGTCTCCAAACTGTTGGCAACGGTACCGTTAAGAGAGCTTACATAAATAAAGTAACATTAATATACAGAAGTGTGGCCGCTCGTGAATATACTATTTAAAATAAGATATCATTATGAATTCCTAATTAACAATTCCCATGCATGATCCAATTAATCATACATAGTTTGTGAATACTTTAATGTTACCTTATATTGTTGCACTTGTGTTGTAAAAGTTTGGATTTAATTTTAATGTTTTCATACGTACCCTAAATATTTCTCTATCTTTACAAAGCTTAATTCCATTGCTTCGTTTCAGCCGTATCACATCAAGGACCTTTATCCGTACACAATCATGCTTAAAGTATTTCAAATGTTGATAAATTTTTCATTTAAATGACAATTTACAAATATTTCTACGAGATTGTGAACATAGTAAGACGAATAAAACGTTTTGTACGTTTTTGATTATATACAGTTCAGCTCTCGATTCATATGCTTACACATTTGTTATTACTGTGAACTAGGTATTAACATAGATTTTTATTTGTAATGAACATTTTTACACTTTTGAATCTATTTGGATACGAGTTGTTGTTATTATAATCTCTGAAACTTAAAACAAAAACAGCCAGGCGTTAGAGAATTCAAAATGAAGTATATATTCATATATAAGTATTGTATGAAGGACAGGTTCTTAAAATGAACTATATATGCACATATATGTATTATAAGAAGGACAGGTTCTCAAAATGAACGATATATGCACATATAAGTATTGTATGAAGGACAGGTTCTTAAAATGAACTATATATGCACATATAAGTATTGTATGAAGGACAGGTTCTTAAAATGAACGATATATGCACATATATGTATTATAAGAAGGACAGGTTCTGAAAATGAACTATATGTGCACATATAAGTATTGTATGAAGAACAGGTTCTGAAAATGAACGATACATGCACATATTAGTATTGTATGAAAGACAGGTTCTGAAAATGATACTCAAAGTGAGTTTAAAAGATCTTTGCAGATCTGCTACAGACAATCCAACTAACAACTTACTAGCAAGATACCTAAAAGTACATTTATTAACCATAAGACTATCCTAAACGTGCTAAAAATAAGAACACGTGATATTCAGTACGTCATGATAAATAATATGAAGACATGATAATCACTATGTCTTAAGAATATGAAAAAAAATGATATTAAGAATGTGAATATCGTAATATTGAGTGTGTTGTAAGAATGTGAATAATATGATGCGCAGTATGTCCTGAAGTTAAAATTAGTTTTTCTTATAACGTTCAAGAAAGAGGTTGGGTTGTCTTGTGCCATATATATATTAGAATTATAAAATGTTATCTAGATATCTCGATCAAAATATATATATATATTGTTATATCAATTAGGTTTTAAACATATTTTTACAGTTTGATAAACGCTTAGGTTAATTCTCAGTTAATGAAATTAATATGATCCTTCTAGTTTGTTTGGAATCATGTAATTTTTTATAAGACCCAGTAAAACTTAATTTCTAATATCTCCCTTTATCTTCGTATGATTTTAGGTCACGTTTCACCTGGAAACACAGCCTGGGGAGTTGTTGTTATCGTACTTGGATTTCTTATGCTCTGTTTTTTCTTACCCTTGTTCACGTGTCTGGCTTTTTGGGGCGGAAGACGCTTTGTCTCGGTAAAGTTATTACCGTATCAACCTACGATTTGTAGCCATTTAATCAACGACAGTGAATCTGATGACAAGTACCGACAACGTTCTTTCTCCTGTGGATCTCCTTCAATTGCATTAAGTATCCCTTCAGTTAGTGGGATGTCCCCTAGCCTACTAGACGAAACGTCTGATGATAAAGAGAAATTGTTTTCAAGATCAGTTGACTTTGTCCAAGACAGACGATACTAGATGATGATAAAGCAAAACTGTTTTCAAAATCATTTGCTTTTGATCAAAAAAGGCAATATTAGATGAGAATAAAGCGAAACCGTTTTAAAAATCATTTTTGCTTTTGACCAAGAAAGGCAATACTAGATGAGGATAAAGCGAATCTGTTTTGAAAATCATTTTTGCTTTTGACCAAGAAGGGCAATACTAGATGAGGATAAAGCGAAACTGTCTTCAAAATAATTTTTGCTTTTGACCAAGAAAGACAATACTAGATGAGGATAAAGCGAAACTGTTTTGAAAATCATTTTTACTTTTTATCAAGAAAGGCAATACTAGATGAGGATAAAGCGAAACTGTTTTGAAAATCATTTTTTCTTTTGACCAAGAAAGGCAATACTAGATGAGGATAAAGCGAAACTGTCTTCAAAAGAATTTTTGCTTTTCACCAAGACAGAAAATATTAGACCAGTTTTTTATCGTTAGTGTCATTTCACTATGTTTGTAAAGCTATAAAAGTATAAGAAATGGTTGGCGAATTGTCATAAGTGTATGCATACTTTACTAATACATGTTTCCAATTATTTAGAAATGCGAGAGTATTGTGGACTACAGTTTCCCGCGAAGCTTGTAAAAAGACATACATTACAGCTGATTGATGTAAATATTCCTTACTTAAATTCAATACAGCGCGAACGTGCGTAAACTATATACTTACGAAAGCTAGAATGAAGTTATAGTTGAAAACTATTTTTTTCTTTACTTAACTATTGGTGACAATGATTGTTGTAAAGAAAAACTATTTTAAACTAATACAGCCAATATAAAAATATTATTATTTTTCTTCCAACACCGCTGATCCATCGTAGTATGTCATTAGTTAGCTGTCAACACCGTTGGTCCATGTTAGTGTGTCATTAGTTAGCTGTCAACACCGTTGGTCCGTCGTTGTGTGTCATTAGTTCGCTTTCAACACCGTTGGTCCGCGTTGTGTATCATTAGTTAGCTGTCAACACCGTTGGTCCGCGTTGTGTATCATTAGTTAGCTGTCAACACCGTTGGTCCGTCGTTGTGTGTCATTAGTTCGCTGTCAACACCGTTGGTCCATGTTGTGTATCATTAGTTCGCTTTCAACACCGTTGGTCCGCGTTGTGTATCATTAGTTAGCTGTCAACACCGTTGGTCCATCGTAGTGTATTATTAGTTAGCTGTTAACACTGTTTATCCATCGTAGTGTATCATTAGTTCGCTTTTAACACCGGTGGTCCGTTGTAGTGTATCATTATTTAACTGTAGCTCCGCTGGAACATCGTAGTATTTCAACTCTTTTTTTTTTCTACATTAAATATATATACATATGTGTGTGCGCGCGTAAACTCTATCATCAGAACGATTTTTTCTTATTCAGTATTTCATCATTTCACTTTCGGGTTTTCTCAGAAGTTTCTTGTTCTGCAGACACATTACTATAAAGTTTAACATAATTTGTGGTACACAAATCTACCTTAATTATGAATATCAAAAAATAATTCTGAAGATAGCGTTCATGTATGTATTTATTGTCTAGTAAAATCTTTAGTTAGCTTGGTTATTTATAGTTAAGCGCAGAGCTACACAATAGGCTATCTGTGCTCTGCCCACCACGTGTATCGAAACCCGGTTTCTAGCGTTTTAAGTTTGCAGACATACCGCTGTACCATTGAGGGGCTTTAGTTACCATTCCAAAAGATTAAGAATACAAGTAATGTAAGTCTGTTGTCTAGTTGGTTATCTATTATAGTGGTTTTCAAAGTGTGGTTTGTGAGGGTCTTACAGGTGGTTCGTGGACTGGTTCAAAATGCAAGTCGCTGACGCGCAACGACATGGCTGAGTTCATGCGAGAGAACAGAATAGATGGGCTTGGTAGGATTGGTAGGTGGTTCGAGTAGCCTTTTGCCAGCCCAAGTGGTCCGCAGACGGAAACGTTTCAGAACCACTGGTCTAATAAAGCTGTAACTCATTGTATAGCATCATATTTCGACCATGATTGCCATGCCTCAGCATGAATTTCTCACTCCTCATCGTCGTCGATCAAACACTAATAACATCTAAATACAGTCTTGGTCAAAATGTTTGCATACTGTCCTGTATTGATGTTATTGTCTACATGTATGGAGTAGTTATTAAGTAAATGCCCGAGTAGTAACAGAGAGTGTAGCGAATGATCATAGAAACATGTACGAGTCGTTATTCTGGTCTTTATAAGTTGTTCTGAGCACTTGTTCGTCAAAATACACATTTGTTTTGTATAAAAAAATGTGCTTTTGGGATGATCTTTTTCGAAATAGATAAATGCTTTGTTCAGACAATTTCTCTGTATTTGGTGTAGAGTCATGCCTCCTCACGTACCACAAGATATAGGACGTCAAATCGTTCGATTGTCCAGAAATGGTGTGAAGCAAACGAACATTGTCAAAACAGTAGGGTACCCCTAGTGTATTGTATCCATAATCCTGAAACGTCATCGGACTACATGAAACGTTATTTCAGGGAAGTCTACCGGTAGACGCCGAAAAAGTATTGCCTGAGATGACCGTGTTTTGATCAGGTTAACACGTCAAGGTCAAAAGACGTCTTGGAACACCTTACGACAGGAATGACATGAACACATTCATTCCAGGGTATCCAAAAGAACAATGAATAGGAGGCTGGCCGAACAAGGTTATTTTGCAAGAAGGACTTTCTGCAAACCGATATTAACCAGAATTTGCCGTGTTACTTGGGCAAGACAGCATGCCAACTTACAATTACAACACTGATGACGTGTCATATTTTCAAATGAGTCCTGTTTCCGGCTTGTTAAAGCTGACGGTAGAACTTGTATTCATTGTTTGCCTGGAGATCAGATGAGGGAAGACTGTCTTTCTCACAGGAAACACACAAGAGGTGGTACAGTACATGCTTGAGCAGCTATTCATTATGGCGGGAAAACTGCTTTTCATACTCTCCAAGCAAATGCCAATTGCGCCACCTACAGACATCACATGGAGAAGATATTTCTGCCATATGCTAGGACAAGGTTTGGCAGTAGCTTTGTGTTTCCAGGATGACAATTCGTATTCTACAGGATTATCTCGACCAGGAGGACGTTACAAGATTGGCATGACCAGCAAAGTCTCCAGATTGTAATCCCATTGAGAACTGCTGGACATAACGAAGCCGGAAAATAACTAACCACGACCCTAAACCATAACCTCATCAACAGCATGCCACGTTGCCTTGCGGAGGTTATTAGAGTACGAGGAGGACCAACCAAGTAGTGAATGTTTAATGTGAACTGATATAAGGTTACAGACGCTATTTATAATGATTTGATGTTATATTTTGTCATCATATATGTTTTTGCAAGGTTTTGTTGTGATACGTGAAATGCTGAATTGTATATCTTTCTACGGGTGTCTGATAAAATTGTTTGCTGTTCTGATAAATCGTTCATGATATCAATAGAACCTGTCTCATTATACAAATTAGATGTGTAGATGTTTAATATAACATGTATAATAATGATCCTTTTTGTTACAAAATATACAAACATTTCGGCCAAGACTGTGTAGTAATTCTGTTATTTATAAGATAATATCTAATGCTATGTATGTATATAACAGGTGGAATATATCACAGGCTGTAAATATATTTAGATATAGACAAATATGTAAGTAAGTAAAAAACGACTGCGTCTATACCATGACAGAATCTAAAAATAGAAAGAAACGTTTAAAATTACTCTAAGAGAAAATTAATGATAAGGTTAACGTTTCAAAAACTAGAAAATTATTGTTTGTTTGTTTTGAATTTCGCGCAAAGTTACACGAGGACTATCTGCGCTAGCTGTTCCTAATTTAGCAGTGTCATCACAACCCACCGCCAACTCTTGGGCTAGTGTTTTACCAACGAATAGTGGGATTGGCCGTCACATTATAACGCCCCCACGGCTGAAAGGGCGAGCATGTTTGGTATGACCACCTGGCCATGCCGGGCCAATAGAAAAAGAAGATATACCAATCATTTTTATAGGTTCTAGGTTTTAAAATTTCATAAACAATGTATAGGTATTTCCTTAGCTACATTGTGAAATAGAGTTTGTTATAATCCCATATTAAGTCCAGCTGAGAACTAAAATTTTCACTATATCGGTTATCATCAAAGTAGCTACGGTACATTGATATATAAGTAAAATCCACGCCAATTTTCTCACCCAAAGGTGTTTAAAGCTTTTTCTTTAGATAACATTCTTTGTCGTCTACCAAGCTGGGCTGATGAGATCTGACACAACAGATTAGTTTATGGGATTTTTGCTACAATCTATTCCATCACGAGGAGAAATCCCGAGAGCTAAGCCTACAGGATAAGTAAATTATTTCAAGATCGCACTTTCATACTGAATCTTTATATATAAGCAAACTTATTTACGTCAATATTTTTTGTGCAATGTGAGTTTTAGTACCATGTAACTTACGCATAATAATCATTTTTTAGAAGCTCAAAACTTCACTATTTCGTCAATAATGTAAAGGTTTTACGCCATATTTTATAAGTTTTGAGTATAGTAAAATAATATGGTTATATTCACTTTTTAGAAGCACTGATTTTCAGTAATTCACCTACGATATTTGATTTATATTCTTATCTATGTGTATAACATATATTTCCTTGGTTATAGGATATTAGTTATATTTAAAATCAGTAAACTAAGTAGATGTGCAATTTGACTAATTCTTGGAGCGGCAAATTGGATACCCAGCTTTGACCTGAGAAAAAGCCCGACAGATACGTCAAAGTCTACATGTAAAGGTGATCCATAATTGGATCTCTTTCTGAAGCTTTTGTAATGCACTTTAAATGTCTTACGTTAAAAGTTTTGCAGGTTATTTTAAAGAGACTGCACTCCTCCATTTTTTTTTCTTTTGCAAAACTTGAAAACACGAACAGATTTGCTGATAAGAAGCAAAATCCCTGCAAGGGCTTTTAGTAGCGTTCATTTTCAAAATAGATTTTGTTGTAAGACTGGGGAAATGAATCGTAAGTGAGGAGGTGTAGTAGTCGAGTCTAGAAACTTGGCAGAAATGGTAAAGCAGTTGCATCACTTCTTATTTAAAGCAGTCCATTTCACAGTAGAGATGTGGTCAAGATTTCGACTGTCTGAAGTTAGTACATTTCATGCATGAAGTTTAATAATAATCTTGAAGGTTGCTTCTACGGAAAACTATATTCTACATCAAGAAGTAAGAAATATCTTTAAACATATTTTAATTATGAAATACTTCTCTAATTCAGGCTTAAGCGCTTATTCTAACTGTAGTATATATCGGAAGTTAAATTATGTGCATCAGAAAATATCGGAAAACTTCAACAGCGGCAATATCTTTATTCTCCGCATTGTAGCTGGATTTGTTATTACTGTATATTTTGGTTATTATGGGAAAGAAGCTAAAATGCTAAAATTCTTATTTATGGTCTTTGACTTGTAGAATTTTGTTATGGAGTGAGTTTTGTTCAAACTCATCCATTTACAATAGTTACTGCAGTAACAATATACGGGTAATTCTATAAAATATTTTTATTTTTCAATATATGGGAAAGTTTAATATGAATTTGGTTTGCTTTTGGGCTATTAAGTTAGCATGCCAAATTTGGTCTGGATCGGTCAATTCGTTTAGGAGGAGATGCATCCACAGACAGATAGAAAGTTTT